TTGGAGTTGGAGATGGGGATTTGAAGAGGGAAAACCGGTAAGAAGAACCAAAAGAGAGACCTGTGGTCAGGTGTTTCAAGAGAAGACATTTAAAGAGAGGTTAGTATGGAGAGGAAGTTCTAGGAGGAAGAAAATAAGAATTTTGAAGGACAATTAGATGAAATACTAGAATAGAATAACAAGTAGCTTTTGTCAACAAGGGGAAAAAAAGGAGACTGTTTAATAAAGTAGATATGACAAAGATAAGACAGACAAAAAGGAGAATTTCCCTTTCAGTGAAAACAGGGCGGGGAAAAGGAATTCACAAAAATAAGGTAGAGAAGTAAGAGAAAGACAAAAGCTAGAAAAATAGTGTTACTAAGAAAGAAAACAGTTGAAGAAGTAAGGGTGGGGGGGAAGAGTGCGAAAGCATTTTGTAACTAAGTGGATGACCATTTATTTGTGCTTCTATAATTGATATTTCTTTGGCTGATTTCTTCCTAGAGACAGAATAAAGAGATGAGGATAGATAGATAGTTATTTGAGTGCTAGTTTATAGGAATGATTTTGGTAACCTGGTCTGGATTATGTAATTAAATAATTCAAATTATCTTGGTTACTATCTATTTTATTTAAGCCATTTCTTCCCTGGGTATCCTGACGTGTCTTTGGAATGGGCACGGTGTGACTGTGTCTCAGTGTAAGGCTGTTCCCTTTCTTCTCCAGAGATGCTTTTTCCATGTGTAGAATGGACCTGGGGGACAACCCACCTGCTTGCTTGAGGAACAGTCATATGCTGTAGATAAATGCAGAAATAGTTGGAAGGTAACAGGAGTCTCTTTTAAAAAACAGTGTCTAAACTGCTATTTATGAAGTGTTTCAGCATTCTGGATACCTTAAATCATTCCAATCGGGAAAGTTTTTCAATCCTTGGAAAAATCAAGTTCTTTTCCCTCCCCACTTAAATGCAAACTGCAGAATATGTTATAATATGAACAAAAATGCTGGGGTGAATAGTTCCCACATCTTCTAACCTCAGAAATTAATCAGGTTAAGCTTCAATACTTATTTCAGTAGTATAATATCAAGTGATGAACTTAATTTCTGTCAATTCATCAAGTCATCAGGCCTCATCTACATAGGAAAAGGTAACTGGTTGAAATGCGTAAGTTAAAGTGAAAAAACCCACTCACACTTTTGTAGAGATACATTAATAAGCTGATTCTGTAATATATATAAAATCTGGTGCAATTTTCCCATAGAAGCAGCTCCTGTACCTTCTTCCAGCTGTAGTGAGATCCCATTGTGTCTTGTTCAAGTGGAAAAAGAAATAAGTACCCTTCCAAATCGCTGTGCTCTACAATGTATACTGAACAGCCATGAAGGTTTCATACACTTGTATCAATTGACTGTGATATAATAATCCTATCTTTTCTAGTTAGTAAGGAATATGGTGTATATCTTGAATCTAACCAAAATGACTAACCAGTAATTTCACTTAAGGGCAAGACTGTGAATTATCAGGAGCTTTTCTCCAGAAAACTGGCATGTATGAGTTCAGAAGCATCTTCTACCACCTTTTACATTGCTTTATAAAATACTGATACACAGAATTAGCTGTATAGGTATCCGAATAAGCAGTGAACGCTAAATAACTCTTACTTTTTAGGCTTCTGTAATATCATCTCAATGTAGAGCCAGGGAGCATGACCAGGCCAGGCTGGAGTTGTGTAGTGCAATTGATGAAAGTGAATTAATAAAACCACTGGACCATGAGCCTGTGAGAGTGCAAGTTTCTGCTGCTGTACTGTAGGCATAAAGGAAATATTTTCTTTAATACCATTTCCACTTTTGTTTAAGCTTTTTGCAAGGGAAGCAGCATGCTGTAGTTCACGTGATATTAATTTTATGATTTTCTTCTTTCTTTTGGAGCTTGTATAAGGAATGAGATAGTTATCCTTTAACATAGCAATTAAACTCAATTGTGTGTGCAACTGTAGGTGTTTATTCAGTGTTTGAAAGCAAATAGATAATCTTTTACTTGTGTGGTTTTTTTTTTTTTTTTTTTTTTAACACTGTTATCCTTTTCCCCATGTATACAATTTCTTTCCTTTATGACACAGTGACCATTTCTGAACGCACTAATACTGTGAGTACCAGAGGAGGAAATAATCATGGGGCACGTGAATCAAGGATATTTTGCTTTCTGAAAGACTTGTACAACCTTTTGTCTTCAGAAATAAACACATACTTTTATGAAGCTATGAAAATAAAAGACAATAAATACGTCATTCTTTTTCTGAGAATGTGTATGTTGACTGAAGAGGAAGTCCTGGCTGAGTTATGGATCCTTGAAAATGATGACCCATTAGGAGGCAGAGCTTAAATTTTATTCAATAGAGAGGTTACTGAAAGTATCAACTGTAATTGTACACGAATAGTGACTGTGTATGTGAATGTGTGTATAATGTCATTTGCATTTTAAATTTGTCTAGGAGCATCTTGGGGCATCTTGTTTTCTTCCATTTTAAAAATCTGAATAGCACCTGTAATTAAGGGAGAAAACTGAGCCCTGGAAGCTAGGTAGGACTTCCATCTATTGATCCGTGTAAACCTGGCTTACGCTGTCAGGGGAGAAGCAGTCAACTGCTGAGCTGCTTTGTCACTGACATAAGCTGGGAGAGGATTTTTTTTTTTTTTTTGTCTATACTGTTTATACACCAGTCTATAGACCTGCTGGCTGGCTGAATTTTAAAGAGTGCGGAGGTTTAAAGACTTGTCCCCTGAGGGATGCTCCTGCCAGTTGGGAAGCGAGCTGAGGCTGCTCTGCAGAAGTTGTGTGCACGTGTGCTGGCTGGGGGAGGGACGCAGCAGAGCTGGGGGAAACGCAGTCCTGCAGCTCAGCCTGGAAAACGCTGCAAAACATACCCATAATTTTCAGGTTGTTTAGTCAAAATATTGAGCTAATACCTTTTGGTTTTTTTGTTTTTGTTTTCTTTTTCTTGTGTGATAATTTATTCTGAGAGAATACAATGGGGAACATAAATGACTACATTTCCATACCCAATTCTGAGTCAGTGCTAAGCTCACCAGGCAGCAATTAAAATCCTCGGTAATAAGGATCCTCCTATAGAGTGAGAATAACTGCAGATTTGGAAGAGATTTTAAATAGAATATAAAATACTATTTCTTTGGAATGGGAAAAGCAAGCTTCATGAGCCTGAAGTAAGAGACTATTTGGAAATGTTTAGGAAATTTCTGAGTTAAAAGTTTTGATTAGCCTTTCTGCTTGCTTTCTTCTGTTAGAGTTTATTATTACTACCAGCAGCATCACGTATGCTTGTTTCTTGCCTACAGAAATTAAAATGTTTACCTGCTCTGTTTGTGTTTTGCTCATCACGCTTCCACAGTGGCCACTCGCAGCAGTCAGGAGGGTGCTTCAGCAGTTTCTTTTGGAGAATATTATATGTACTGCTGTTGTTCATAACTGAGTTAATAACCTTGCTCAAAACACAATGTGTGGCTTTCATATCCTCCTTTATCTGTGCTGAAAAAGTAAAAGTTCCAAAGATTTCTTGAACTCTCTTGTGTGACTTAGAAATGCTAGAAAAATTGACTTTTCCATTTTGTACTGTATGATGATTTACTGGGCCACATCATATACCTTTAAAATGTTGCAATTAACATATACATGTTGTATTCAGAGGCATCTTTTTCCTGAACTATTTGTCCCTTGCTGATTAACTTGCATGGGTTCTTCATGTTTTACACTATCCACTGAGCCAGGCAAATGTTTGAACTAAATAGTCATTGTGGTGTGCAGGAATTTAAATACATAATTTCCCCTAATGGGAGTTGACTGTTCAACATGCAGTAAACAGAGAGTTCAGGCTGGAGAGTGCTAACATCTTAAATCAAGTTCTTAAACCGCCATGTGCAGCTCTGGAAATTTGCGATCAACATGCATTTTTCTGAAAACACACACCTTGTGGGATAACTCGTGTATACAACAGTCTATCTGTCGCTGTTGGTCTGCTACAGAAAGGGAATTCTGTAGCTTTGCTGACCAACTGCGTCGACGTTGATTGTCTCTTCTTAGCTGAAGCATTTCACAGAGGGTTTGTTTTCCCAATTGGGAGCAAGGAAATAAAACCTGTTTTTCTGGGATCTTATAAGGTCATTGTTTAATATTTGCTGCTAACTGATCTGGTAATTAACTTTTTTTTTTTTTTTCTTAAAAAGAAAAATGTTGACTAGTTTGAGAGCATTTTTATATTTTAATTAACACATTTTATTTGCCACTAAACAGCTTCTTAAATAAAATTCTGCAAGAAAGAGTGACATTATCCTTTCATATCATGGTATGAATGTAGATCCGGTGGATTTCCCCCCCGCCCCTTTCCCTTTATTAATAGTGAGGCTTGGTTGTGAAACCCAAAGGGTTAATCACATAAATTTCTCCTTTGGACCAGCAGACGATTTCCATCATTTTCAGCATTTGACTATGGAACATGTATAGAGTTGTTATACCTCTCTGTAATTCATTCTGCTGCCAACTTCATTCCCTTTTCTCTGCCTGCATTTTAATTGAAACAACATTTGTATTTTTGAGCCAGGATCTGTCAGAAGTCCCTGTGGCTAGTCTGTGGTACAAGTAGCAGCAGACGTGGCTTACCCATATGGTGTGGTGCTTCTTGTAAAATCCATATGGCCTTGTTGAAGGGAATCCCAGCGGGAATGTGAAGGGTGTTAATACCCTTCAGGCCAGGCCTTTCCCTCCTGGGGCTTCTATGGCATTGTCTTTGCAATCTGCCAAAGCACAAACTTAATTCCTTTTTAATAATCAATTATTTCAGTCCAGGAACGTGTGCTGTATTTTTTGCAATCATATATTCCTTGAATTTATTATTTTTTACGAGTATTTTTTTTTTTTTTAAAGCAAGCTGTAGGATAGTTGCTAGCAAATACAGATAAACGCCTTTTCAAAATCTTAACTCTATTTCTTTTACTTGTATTTACAGGAAGTGCTGAACAGCGTTCCAAAGTTCTGCTTTCCTTTTGACATTGAAAGGTATGTGTTACAGTTATCATTTATTTAAAAATATTTCATAGAAAATGATATTTAGCATAATTGCAAGAAAAGATTTAAAGAAAAGGAAAACATATTGTACTCCCTAAACTTGCACCTGCAGATAAGAAGAACACATCCTTTGTGTTCAAGTAAGTATGAAATCACTAGTAGGAAATTATCACAGCAAAATGCAACCTTTACAGAATTTTGGGGATATCTTTTTCAAGATAGAGCTACGTTCCGGCTCCCAGTTTTGTCCATTATAATTTTAAACACCATCTGTGTTAATATAAGGATATAACATAGTTTCCTTCAAACAGCAAGCATCATAAAAAATGTTATGGTGCACCAGGATATAAAAACACACCGAGCAGTACTGAAAACATGTTGTTTGAGTTCAAAGAAATTAAGACTTTAATTGCATGGAAGTAACTGAATATGCAATTGATTTTTCTCAGAGAAGAATCAGGACCATTATTTATAATTAATTAGCTCTTATCTTTCTGGTATCAGTTATAGTGTGTCTTCCATGTAATGCCACCAGTCATTTAAATTGTTCACATAAAACATTTTTATTAATTAAAATATTTATTTAGGCTTGTCAAAATGACTAACGATAATTAATTTAATCAATTGGTACTCACTCAGTTTGGAAAACTCGTATTGTCCAAATCAGCAAAGATTGAATTAGAAGCTTGATTTGCATAATTAATGAAAGATGCACCCAGGTAGTGTGCAGGCTGAGCCGGTTTCAGAACAACATTGGCATCAGTTGTAGATGAAGACTCAAAGAAGAGAAGCATCTATCAGACGCAAAAAGCTACTATCTGTGGAGTAAAAGGTGGTGTGTGTATAGAGGAAAGAAGAGAGGCTTTGCAGAAAAACACACTGGCAAAATAAAGATCTTCATAAACACAACTTCCCTGAAGTAAACTAGGTTCATTTAGTCTTTAATAGTTGAATTTAATTAAGCTGTTCGGGTTTTGGACCGGTTAAGCTCACTGTCCTTTAAGCTGTTTTAATGACTTAACTAATACGGTTGTCAGTGTTGGCTTTAAAGCATTAAAGTCTTTAATGTGCTTATAATATGTACAGAATTCTATTTAAAATTGGTAATGAAGATGAATAATGGAAATAAAATTTGAGGATAACGGAAAAAGGTGAGGTTCTGTTGCTGCCATCCAGTGGCAAGAAGATAATCAGTGGCAGCAAATAATAATTTCCAAATAACTCGTCTTGCATTAACTATTTCTGTTGACCCATTCAGAAGACGCTTAATTGCTTGTATGAGATGGATAAGCTTAATCAATAAACTGTGGGAATACATGAATTTATAGCATAGCTAGGTATGTATTTTAACTGAGTATCCGAAGGGGGGAAAAAAAGCAAGGAAAAAAAGAAAAGAAAAAGTTATGGGATGTTTGTTGTTCGTCTGTTAATACAGGCACTCCTGTGCACCCCTCCCAGAGATGCTTTTTGACTCTTGGCCTCATACTCAACTGTAAAGCAGTGGTGCAAAATTTCTACAATTTTCATAACAATTGGCAGTTGGACAGAGGAAGGAGAGGTTCTAGGAAGCTGAGATAGACTGATGAGGGAACAAAACTGACGTGTTCGGTCTGGCCTGCTGACTGCTCCGGCAGTACCGTGGTGTCTTTAAAATCAGCCACCGCACTCGCAGCTTCTTGTATGAGTTTTAGGGGATTTATGGGAGAACGAAAGGCAATGAGACATCATGAGAGTATAAAAGAGCACGGACAAGGAGGAGGGGCAGAGCTATTGTGGTGGAAAGGACAGAAATACTGGAAGCTCATTCAAGAAAGCAGGCGACTGTTTACTGGCAAGCTATGTGTGTGAACAACTTACTGGCTGTGTGGTGTATGTTACTACTCAGTTCAGGCATTTTCTATAGTGTAGACATATATTACCACTTTTTCAAAGAAAACTTCAGCTGTCTTCTGCTTTCTCAGTTTTATTTTTTGTTTTGAAATTTAGACTGATAAAGAAAAGTATTGACAAAAACACTGCTGTAGCTCCTTTTTCATATGGCTTTTTTCCAATGGACATTTAAGATGTGACAAGCATATTAGCTTTTGTCTAGCCGTAAATGTGCTTTTCACTTGTCTGGTGAATATATATAAATATATAGGTTTTTTTTTTTCTTGTATAGAGGATCATGATAGACCATACAACTAATACCCCCAAATATTTTACAGGCAGTTTCAGTGACAGTTTCTGTACAGAAAGCTTTGATTGAAGTGAAATGAAAAGTATCTGTTTCATTGATTGAGCGAACTGTACTTTAGAGAGCATAGTTTCTCAACCTGTGTCATGCGTACTATACCTATATAAAACACTTCAAGCAATATCTGATCCTAGTAAGAGCTAGAAATTACCAGTCCAAAAGTGATAACTTCCATTGATGCTGCTGATCAAGGTACCTAGAATTAAAAAATGTGACTCTGTTCCATAGTTTCCTACTGTACAGCAGAGTTGGAGGGAATGGAGTGTATTTTCTGTTAACTAGGTAAATAAAACTCATTAAAGTAGGAAGTCTATATTCTTCAAATTATGGAAATAGGAAAGTTAAAGCACTGTTAAAGCACAGTGCTAAAATCATCGTCACCGGTTTTCCTCCACCTCACCTGTATTAATTAGTGAATGAATTGAAAAGTTAATGAAATGAGAACATGTATTTGATTTTTGTTTTATTCACTATGCTATAGTGAATGTAGACGGAGATCCAGATTTGGTTCTTACTATGACGCATCTTACATCATCTCACCAGACGTACTTACTTAATCTTTTATGCAGATGCTATAAATAGCTGTACTCTAATCATTCTAATTATCAAAAGTTTATACTGTGAATGGTGATTAAAAATCTATAGGTAACTCCCATTAGATTTAAACTGAAAGTCAAGCCAAAATAGGCACAATGATGTAATGTTTTGACCATGATTTAAACTTTGAGTTTTATATATATAATTTTTTTATTGAAAGCAAGCACATAATTTCATTACTGCTGGTTATGGCTTACATTTTATTTTGAAGGGGTTAAGAAACAAATTGCATCATAGAAGTTCTTGAGCATTTGCTCCAAGAACCTACGTCTTTTTTGTGAATAAATGATTTTAGACTTAATAAATGGCACAATTGTATAACATTCTAACACTTTGCTTGTAGATATTTATGAATAAGTTCCCTTTTCTCTGCTGCAGAATTCCTTTCTTTGTTTCTTTTCATACGTAATAGGAGGATTTAACATTTGAGAATGTAGGGGTTTTAATTTCCTTTTAATGTTTGCTAAACTAATAATAATACATCAGAAGAAGCACCTTGTTCTCTCTTTTGTTCCTTGAATCTGTTATGCAAATTCTGCATGGTTTTCTTCACTTTTCTTTCTCCAGCGGTCTTCTGTATTTCACTCTCAACCCAAAACTTGGGTATAACTTTGCAGACAGCCCACACCTCGATCTCTACATCCATCAGTTATTTAGCTGGGTGATGACTAGTGAGCACGCAACTTCTCCTCTTGTTCCTTTTGGCCCCATTTCAAATTCAGTCCGAAGTTGTGCTACAATGATGCTTGACCCCTCAATTTTATCTGTGCTTTGAATCTCTCTCATTTGTCTCCACCATAAATACTTTCCCTCTCTTCTTCCATTCCTCTGTCTTTTCCCTTTCAGGATGCATTTCTTCTGCTGAATGTGTAGCACACGTGGCTTTTTAGCTAAGATACTTTGGAAACTGCCTGTAGGATCAGCATGGAGACAATGATATGTACCTCACTGACTTCCCCTGCTGCGCTCACCTGATCGCAGGGAAGCATTGTATTTTGGAGTGTAAGAAGTGGCTCTACTGCCGATGCTGTAGAAGATTTCTTGTTAGCAGTAGAATATTACTCAAATATAGGAATTACTGTGCGTATTATTTAACTCATAATCTATTAGAGTCAATGAGTAATGATGGCAGGAGTGACATCACTTTCACTCTCCTGTTCCTGGCTAGTGCTATTTCTGTTGGTATTTCTGATAAAAGTCTGCATGCAGAAACACAGCCATGATCAAGACAAGTGAAAAACAATGGCTGGAGAGATCATTGGATTTGCAGATCTTGTGAAAGGCAATTATAAGCTATCTTACACAAAAATTTTTGCCTTCAAAGTAAATAGTTGAGAACGAAAAGTAAATAATTGAGAACGTATTTCAAGCCGTACAGGTGAAGATAAACTATAGCATCTCCTGTACATTTCAGTCATTCCAGTCAGTTTGCAAGATGGGTTGTGAACTTGAGAATGTAGCAGTAGTTTTATACAGTTGAGTTCTTCCCATCCTTTATCTCATTGTGTTATGGTATGTGCATATGTATGTGTAAGAGAGAAGTCTTTGTAAGGACAGGTTGCAGCATGAACTGTGCGCCGTGGAAGAGTGTAACTATTGGTTTTGAAAGTGGGTTGTTTGGTTTCCATGTCTGTGCAGATGTGGACCTGTCTGAGGAAACCTGGGCATACTGAGGGAACCACAGCGTGCTCTGATAGACCCTGGGTGAGGTACTGTGGCCAGGACCCCTGGACAGAGCTGGGGTGTGTTGCGACTTAAATACATCCAGCGAGACTCTTTACTAACTAGTTGTGGGTTTTTTTTTAATGCTTCTGTTGTTTCAAAAACACAACCCCAATTATAAGTTAACTATGCTTTTTATTTGTGGGAATTTCCTTATTTGGGAGTGACTTTGTACATTTTCATATCTTCTGCAGTTTTCTTCTCGTTCTTTTTCTTTCTGATGTGTAAGGGGTTGGGGTTTCTGGGAAGCAGAGCTCAAGTCGGATAACTCAGTTGGAGCAGAGGAGCCCTCCATACAGGGAGCCTGAGCTGTGGAGTCATGGATCATGGAGTGTGCTTGGAAGTGGAGAAAATAGTCCCTGAAGCTTAGATTTGGGGGTAGCAATCAGTTGAAGGAGACGGCCCGACCTAGAGTTACCCAGTCTCTCCATCAGCTTGTACCACTACCTTAACATCTGTTTTTCAAATTCCTGCGTGAGACGGTTTCTAATCTATTCTCTAATCTGGAAAGAATTAGGGTGAATGACTGGTGGGGTTTGCTTCTCAGCATCAGATTGGGAGATGAAATACATTTGAAATTTTCAGGTTTAGGTAGCTGCCGCCAAAGCCTTAATCAGAACCGTATACTTTAGTTACATTGGTCAAGTATGTGTACGTGACACCTTATAATTAATGATACTAGTTACTGTTTTCTTTTAAAAATAAGTCATCAAAATCTGTATTCCCATGCATAAAGTCTTTCATTTTTTGAAACTCACTGAAAAAATTAATTCTCTGAAAAATCTCTCTGAAATTCAAAACCCTTCAAAAATTCCTAAAACTTGAAGAAAAACTAATTTCAAACATCTTGTGTGTCCTAAACAGATTAATTTGGAAGAGCAATTCTTATTGAGAACAAGGGATAAATTTAGTGATTAGACATGCTGTTTTTTGTTCGAAGAAGAGATTTAATTCCTGCCTTAATCAGCTCTCTCAAGGCGCCCTTAAAATGAGGCCTGAACAATAGCTGTAGTGTAAACAAAAAATCATTAAAATGACTCTTTACCTACTCCATGCTTACCAAAGAGCCTTTTCTGCATTGTGTGGATATGTACTTCGAAAATTTTAAAAACTACTTTTATTCCTATAGTGAACTGTAATAACCTTGAAAGAGCCCATTGTAGGCTGCAGGGTTGATAAGTATTTACACACATTCTTTGCTATTAGTGATTTATTATTGTTAAACTAAGATTAAATGTAAGCATGCAGGGCAGGAGTTGAAAGTAAGTCAAAAGCAAGGCAGAGGAATGAGTGAGGAGAAGGTCAGCAATGGTTGGGAATGATTTGTGCCTACTCTCCCTGCACAAGTGAGTAGATCATGCTCTCTTCAAATAGCCAACCAGACAGCATTTTGCAGAAAGTTTTTGAAGCTCGGCCAGTGGATCCTGCGCTCTGATAGAAAGTCTAGATAACGTTTTGTGTAGGGGATTCTTGTACGTAATAATTGCGTTTTACCTGTGTTGATATTCACGTTAAGGAAAACTCGAGAGGCATCATTGAAAGTGAGACTTGACTTCCGAACAACCTGAGTGTGCTGCAGTGAAACAGAGAGGCACGAGCCCCAAGTCACATAGCCAACATTGGTCCACATGATGGTACATGCAATATATATGTGAAAACTGCAGTGCTAGCACTTTTTGAATGTTTTATGTCTGGTTTATACATTGTGGTTATCTACTGATATGCAGAAATCCCCACTCATCATTTGTTTGTTTCTGTAAGGTTTACATATAGTCAGTTTTAATTCTGCTGAAGAGTAGAAAAAAAAACAAACAGGCATCCTTGCTGCCTCCAGATCTTAAGTGGAGTTTTCAAATTAGAAACCCAGAATTAATTCAGTATTTTAAACTCTGATCAGAAAAAGTAGTCCAGATAGATTGTCACTGGCTTCTGTTAGCTGTTGCTTTGAAGCAAATGGGACCAAATGCAAACTTTTGGGTTCTTTGTGGAGATTCAGTTTTAGCCTTGGAGTTTTTCTCAGTTCGAAAACCTACAACATGCTGTTTGCATCTCCTTCTAAACTCTGTGGGGAGCAGTTTTCAAGCTGGGCCATTTTTACACTGACTGTCGAAACCATAGAGTTATCTCTCTTAAAGAAGCAAAGGGAAGACATTGAGTTGGAGGTGGTGGGATAGCATTGGAATTGCCTCCTGCTGA